TATAGTCTCTCAATGAACCTTAAGCTCTCCATTTTGCCCAGACTTCCCAGATCTGTTTGTCTCCATCCAAAACCTGGTCTTCTGAGCCATCTCCCTATGCATACAATCATGGAACCATTTAATGGTCTTTGTAAAATACAAAGAACAAAGTGGAAATATTCAAGAAGGTTGTTTTTTGTTGTTGGGTTTTTTTGTTTTTTGGTTTTTTTTTTTAAGTATTTAGACAAGATCTTAACTAGGAACCAGAGAACACAGATCAGGTAATCTTTCATGAAAAATCAACAGAGCCTGAAGTTCAGATTGTTAACAAACATGCCATTAATCAGGACCTACTGGCCAAGATGCCAGCTCATGGTCACGGATGCGGTCCACAGAGCAGCAACGTTCAAGGCTGATGGCACTCAAAGATGGATCCAAACTCCTAGTTCAAGTGCATGAAAAAAAGTGAAACCCTGATACAAGACTGCTTTTATGACCAGAAAATCCAGCTGGGAAAACTGACCATGAAACTTCAACAGCTAAAAATGCATGAAAAATATGCCAGCTATCCTTTGTGGCATTGCTAATTATGGAAGCATTTTAAATCCCTGCTGCTATGGGACATATTATATAGAATGAGGTGAGAATCCACTGGGTTAACAGGCTCTTAACTACTAAAGTTTTTTTTTTTTTTTTTAAGATGTGGTGTCTACCTTCAAAAAGCCTAAGGGGTGAGGATCGGGTATTAAAACTGACTGTAAATTGATAGTTGTTGAAATAGTAACAAATAAACGGAACTCACAATATTTATTAAACTTTTTCAGCACTTTTTTTTGGGACAGTCTCTTGTAACCCAGGCTGACCTCCAACCAGGGTCTAGCAAAGAATGACCTTGAACTGACCCTTCTGCCTTCACCTCCCAAGTGACAGGTGTGCACCACTACATCTGGTTTATGTGATCCTGGGGATGCTAAGGGAGTGCACTACCAAATGAGCTACATGCCCAGCTTTGTTTCAAAGCTTCTTAACAGACTTAAAAACAATTTTAAGTGCAATTTACAGCATTAAATGCTTAGGGCCTGCTTATTCTCTGACCACACTATATTAATATATAAGATTACTCTACATAACTGCTTGCTATCCTGGTATTGTTACATTCCAGGGGGCCTCAGGATAAGTTGATTTTGTTAATCCATTCTAAAAATACCCTCTACTTTGGAAAAAAAAAAAAAAAACCTCACATGTCTATTTTGTTTTTTGCATGATGTAATAAAATGGCTTATTTTTCTGTGTACATAAGAGAATGAAATCTCTGGGATTAGGGTAAGCAAGGTGTTTTACTTTTGAAAGGTGCAAGGGTGTGCAATATGTCGAAAGAATAAAGTGGGCCTAGCTCTCTGGATCACTGTGCACTCTCTACTGAATATTCTCCAACTCTTAATGGAGCTCCTGAAGTTCGAGTCCAGGAGAAATTGTCTTTAAAACTATTCTTTTTGGGCTAAAGAGGTTGCTCAGTGGTTAAGAGCATACCCTGCTCTTACAGAGAACCTGAGTTTGGTTCCCAGCACCCAAACTAGGTGGCTCATACCCACCTTTAACTCCAGCTTCAGGGAATCTGATACAGTCTTCTGGTCTCTTCGAGCACTGGCAGGCAGAATATTGGACATGCTGGTGAGACTGTAAAACAATTAGTAACCCTGCACCCTGTTGATAGGAAAGTAAAATGGTGTGTGGTGATGTCACTACAGAAAGGGCACAGAGGCACCCTGGGATGCTGGTCATGTCATGTTTCATGATCTGGGTTCTACTTACACAGGTATGTTTACTTTGTAAAACCTCTTATGAGGACATTTTGTACTTTTCTGTATGTATGGTTTATCTCAGATAATATGTTAATGGGGGCATCTGGGGGGACTGGGAAGATGGCTCAAATCAGTAAAGTGCCTACCTGGCAAGCATGAGAACCTGAGTTTGATCCCCAACACACTCATTAAAAACAAGCCAGATGCTGTGGCCTGCCCCTATAATCCCAGCACTGGGGAAGCAGACAGAGAGAGGAAGATCCCTGGTGACTGCTGGCCAGCTAGCCTAGCAAAACATCTCTGGGGGTTCTGGAGGTCTCTTGTGTTTACTCCTCTGTGGTCTTGCCATGGTTTGAGTGTGTTGCTCATTTCTTGCAAAATTGGTCCCCAGTGTGGTGCTATAAAGGGCAGTGACTGCTGAGGGAGGTAGAGCCTTGTGATGGGGAGCACTGGCTGCCAGCAGGAGACATTGATGTCATTTTATGAGGGAGGCCTCTGTTAAGCCTGGCAAAGGACTTCCTGTCTCACCATCTGCTCTCTCCTACGTTCCCACCATGATGCTACGCACCGCCATCTGATGCAGCCAGGAAGACCCTCTCCAGAGACCAAATTGATGGGGCTGCCCGAACGCTAAACTAATAAATCCCTTTTCTTTATAACATATCCAAGTGGTCTTCCTTGACATTCCATGCAAATTAACTTCCTCAATGTTCGGAAACTTGGCATGTGTGTGTCTGCTGCAAGGCCTTCCCAGACTCTTCTCTTGGTCTAGAATGTTCTTCTTTCACTAACCTCCATGAATCATTCCCTTGCCCCCTTCGGACCTCTTCTACAAAGTGCTGTTTTTACTGGGGGCCTCCTTGACTGCCTTATAAGATGTAGAACAGCCTCACACCACTGCACCCTCCTTTCCCAAGGTCTCCATCACTTCCTTCAGTTTTTCTCTAGCACTTGGCACTTTTGATAATGAATAATATGAGTGTGGGGATTTTCACATTTTGTTGACTGTTGTATTCCAAGTGTCAATAACAATATGAGGTGGCTAAACAGGTATTGCCAGGAAGCCTAGTATCCTGAGTTCAGTCCTGGGACCCCATGGTGGAAGGAGAGAACCTACTCCCAAAAACTGTCTCCTGATCACCTCACCCAAGCCATGGCATGTGTGTGTCCTGCCCACTCTTCCCTCCACGTGTAAATGAATAACTAATAAAAAAATCAATAACAATGTGTGATAAATAACAAGAACTCAGTTCATAACTGTGGAATGAATTATTTTATTGGTCGCCAGTACATCAAGATTTATAAAGATAAAGACTCATAACTTAATCACTTTTGCAGTAAATAATAACTAAGTAGAATTCATAAGGGTAGATCTTTGGTTTAGTCAAGTAAAGGTACTTCAAATAGGCAAGATATTAGTCTCCATTTTTAAATAGCTTACCTGACCTCTCTCCAACTAAATTATGTGCCTCAAAGTTAACAACTGCTTTTTCTTCTCCCAATAGACTTTCCCTATACTAAGAACAAATATAGTAAGTAGCACATGCAACAAAAACACAGTTATTAAAATATAGCTCAATAGTGGCCACACATCAGAATGAGGAGGAAATTTAAGCCTTGGAAGGTGATACAAGCATAATAGCTTGATTCATTCACAAGCCTTTTCCTTTCCAGAGAAAGGTTAAAGAAACAGATAAGACTCGAAAAAGAAAAATCAGCAGATGTGCTGGCTTCCCCGTGTGACCTTGAAAGTACATTAAACAAGGTGAAGTTCGATCCTTCTGATTTGATGACCTCATGCTGTTAAAACAAACAAAAGCCCTACTTTTGTCCACCTGACTCATTATCAAGAGAAAATTTTAATCTTGGAAAATTCCAGAAACTTGTTTCCCAGAAATGACAAGTCCACAGACCAATAGCTTGAATGCATTTATGTGAAAAGCTACAGCTCAGTCATATGAAAGCTTTTAGGGAACCTTGGCCATGAAGACATGTATCTTCTGAGAGGTGTTTCTATATACATCTGTCTCACAGGGCAACAGCCCCTCTTCCTCCCTCCTCCTGGAAGGACCAGGAATAGTCAACTGCTGCTTGCAGCAGATGTCATGACACAGTCACCAAGCCTGTAACTACCCACTAGTCACCTTTGAGGTAAGGCTGGGGGAGCAAGAGCCAAAGGACTCAGTATTACAGTGTTGAGAAGTTTGTAGTGGCAGTACCCATTACCCAGGGAGACCAATCTCTAAAAAAAAAGCATGGTGGTTGGGGAGGGGAGGCAGCGGTGGCGGGATTTCTCACTGTGAAATAGAAAATTCCACCAGGCACAGTAATGCACCCCTTTAATCCCAGTGCTGGGGAGACAGAGGCAGGCGGATCTCTGAGTTTGAGGCCAACCTGGTCTACAAAGCAAGTTCCAGAACATCAAGGACTGTACAGAATTCCAGGACAGCTGGGGCTATATGGAGAAACTCTGCCTCAACACCAAAAGAAAAAAATAAATTCCAGTCACACACTCGCTGTTAGAGAGACATGGGCTACAGTAAAAGTTGGCTGTAGAGAGAAAGCCTTAACTGGATCAGGACTTGAACTGAAGAAACATGTTAACATCCTAACATATTGATGTGAACCTCCTTCACAGTACACATGCTAATTTGTACATAAAGCCCTCTTCTGAGACATGTACACAGAAAGTCAGCTATACCATATTCAGGGGTTCTACCGATAGTTTTTAGTGACGGTGACCTTTGGTCATTACAGAATAGAATGCATACTAGCCAACAATTAGCTCTGGCTCTTCAGAGAGGAAGCTGTTTCACAAGTATATATATTTTAAAATGTATGTATATATATATATATATATATATATATATATATATATATATATATAATTATTATATATATATCTGTAAATGTACACACTTTAGCATTTGTATGTGTATATGTACACATATCACTGTGTCCCTACAAGGAAATGCATACTCTATAGAATGGCAAATACCAAGCCTGATACTCACATAATGAAACAAAGCAGCTTTGACTCAAGAGGCTTAAACAGAATATTCAGGCATCTTGATTTAGCAAGACAGAGTTTACTTCTACTTTCCAGCCTAATTAACAATGCAGCCCCTCCCCATACCACAATGAGCTGGCTGTGAAATGGCTGCCAGTACAGGATGGTAACCTTTGGCCAAGAAGCTACCATGGGTTTCTCCTAAACACATAGTGGTCATGCTAGTTAAATCATTCTGTCCTTCGCCTTTTTGGTAAAGTCAGAATCTGCCAATGTAAACAAAATTAGGAAGGCTTTCTGTGATGAGAGAATTAGCTCTGTGATTCAGTTTGCCATCTACACAGCTTGCCAGGGGGACTTCGCTGCCAGCCGCTAGAGACTGTCCTCAGCATATGAGAAAAGTCTCACACATTTTTTCTGTTCAGATTACTTCTGGATTCATAGACAACAGGGTAGGGATAGGACTTTGGCTTGGAAGCTATTTATTTTAAATGAACAGTACAAAAGGGGAGGGCTCTTTCCACTAAAATTCTCTTCCCATGACCAACCCCAGGAAATCTGCAGCCAAAACCTAGAGTCCCTGGCCACATGGTCCTCCCTTATTCTCCCGAATAGCAGTAGTTGTGGTTCTGGCACTGTGAGAAAGGCAAAAGGGCTCTTGGGGAGAGGGTTGGAGAGTAGCCACAGTCACCACCAGCAGCTCACAGGGCGCAGAGATCTACTTACCCATGCTCCCATAGCAGCCCCCTCCTCCTAGGGAACACGTGGAGTTCAGAGCCCCAGGAGCCCACCCGATATTGCTCCAGTAAGGCCTGGCATTGTCCTGCCATACAAGTAGCAATCGTCTTGCAGTGTGTCACAGTTCGGTCCCATAGATGGCTTTGTGACGTAGATATTCTTCTAAACACTGAAGGACGTTATCATCCACCTTTGGGTCAAACTTGTTGGCCAAGAGATGATGGTTCTGAAGTAGCCAGTGCAGGTCCCCAGACCCGTAGATACAGACAGCCCGCTGGTGGACGCCTGAGCAAGGGGTGTAAGGCGCCCCATCCTCAATGTCCCCCTCGTGGCCCTGCCACTTGATTAGCCTTGCAATAGACGTCATGTCTGAGAGGTCAAATTTGGCATGCAAGGGAGCTGATCCAGGCATCCACGAGGCACGCTGGAGGGTGGCCCAAAGGTGCTCATCAGGACTATAGGTGTCTTTTACCCATTCAATTAGTTGCTGGGCTTTGGAGTTGTTGAATACATGTTCGATGAAGTCTCGAGAAGCCACCATGTAGGCATTCCCAGTGAACATGGTCATGTTATTTGGTGGAGGGGTCTTCCTCTTATTGGTTACGTACAATGTGTCTTTCACCTCATAGTGATATTTCCAGCGGAACGTTTTATGTACCGGTGGTACCTCTGACTCCATACTGTTCTGCCCATTCAATAGCTTGAGGGCCTGGACCATCTCGGCATTGGTCTTGATGGGAAAGTCTGTCCCACAGGTATTCAGGAGGTATTTCCATGGCACGGAGCTCTGGAGCAAGTCTTCCATGCAGTTCAGATCAGCCTGCACCCTGGACCAGGAAGCATAGACTACTGACACAAGCTTACTAGCTATGAAGACATTTGGGAAGCATGATGTGATGGCCCTGACTGCCTGCTTGAAGGTTTCCGGGGACTTTTGGTCCACATGGACACAGTATATGTTCTGGGGGGCGTACACAGCTCGCAGCAGCCTTTCAAAGTTCTCGATCTTCTCATGAACCACCATGGAATACGCAATGGGGAAATCAGCCTCTCCTTTGCTCAGCGATAACTGTATGAACTTCCTTTTGGTCTTGAATTGCTCACAGTCTGCTGTCATGCTAAGGTAGTCAGTCTCTGTGAAGGGCTGCCGCTTCTTCTTAATCTCCAGGTTATTCAGCAGAGCCTGGATCACTGCGTTGTGCTCCCCTCGAGTGACCCCAGAACAGTTGATGGACCTCTTTGCTGGCAGCTTCAGGTTCTTGTACAGGAAATCCCTGCAGTACTGGCTTCGAGATTCCTTGGAGTCCAGATCTAGGACACTGAAGTCACATTTCAGCCTGAGGGACAGTTTCAGGGCAATGAGGGCCAGCAGCATGTAGCAGCCCATGACCCACACATGATAGCGCCAACAGACCTTCCTCCACAAAATCATCTTCACAGGTGAGGACCATCCAGCAGCCTTGCCCAGCAGAGGAGGTGGGTGGGCTCGCTGAACAGAACAAAGAACTTCTGATTAAAAATTAACCAAACATGTTCCCAGGAATGTTAAGTCCAACTCCAAAATGGTGGTAGATGAGATTGCTTCTCTGGAGAAATAACTTAGAAAAGAGGAACCCATCCACCAGGTTTGCTGAGGGAGACTCAACAGCCCTAACAGAGCCAGAGCCGCTGGCCAGACTATCAGGGACCGGCTCCACCCTTACCTTTGTGGAGAGGGAAGCACAGAGCTGGGCTGTCTTAGTTAAAGGTTCAATTAGCTGGAGGAAGTCCCCACCCTTCATCCCTTTTCCTTCTTCCCACCCCTGAAGCTCTAGACAGGAATTTTATCTGGGGTTTAGAATTTCTAGGTCTGAAAACAAAACTACACGAAATTGATCTAGCATCAGTTCTAGAATCAAGTCCCTTTAAAAGGAAACGGTTCCTTGTTTCTATTTGTTAATCTCTCTATTAAGACTCTGCTCTCCCCCATAGCCTTCAATACTCAGATCTTGTATCTGGCTAACCTTTCACTTTAAAATGTCCTTAAAGAAATAGCAAATAGCTGGACATGGTAGTGCACCCCTTTAATCCTAGCACTCGGGCAGCTGAGGCAGGCAGATTTCTGAGTTTGAGGCCAACCTATCTACATAGTGAGTTTCAGGCCAGCCATCTTCTATTTCAAAAGAAAGAAAGAAAGAAAGAAAGAAAGAAAGAAAGAAAGAAAGAAAGAAAGAAAGAGCAACTCAATATTATCCAAACATTGACAGCAGTCAAACACTATATCTACTTTAAAATATCTCCAGAGAAGTGAGTATGATCACGTACACAGAGCACTTATAATGTTTGTGAACTAAGATTATTTCTTTACACTTAATCATCACAGCCAACTAGTTATCACTAGACTCATTTTATGACAGAAAAACAGAAGCTGAGTGATTTATCAAATATCACATGTTAGAAGACTAGAGATTTCCCTCTACTCTGCCTTCCTGAGTCTTTATATCTATGAGCCTAATGCTTATTCCACAAACCACACCTACCTTTTAAATACAACGCAAGGTATTGAATACTACCAAAGAAAACCAGACCTACAAGGGAAGAAAACCTCAAAAATTAAAAGTATAATACACCCTTCCAGCAGGTTCTTTTCCTCTGGTTCATTCCTTTGTGAATACAACATTGTATCCTCTTCAGTAATAACTTTTGGGGGTAAGATTTAAGAAGAGGGAAAATGAAGGAAACTCACCTTTCCTAGCCTCTTGGCTGTTTCGGGAAGCTTTCTCCAACGGTGTGAGTCTGTGGAGTGAAGGCTAGTTTGGTTCTATGTTGATAAAAATTAACACTACAGTCCTTGCCTTCTTGCCTTCCATAAAATATTTGCTGATGTCCACAAGGAGACCAGAAAGCACATCCATGCTCCTCTTAAACTATGCAATCCAGGCTCCTCTTAAACTATGCAATCCATTCTCTTAAACCTATGTAATCCAGGCTCCTTTTAAACCTCTGCAGAGGAGAGAGCAGCAGGTGGCTCTGTCACTCACCTTTTGACTTCCTGTTCTCAGAAAAGGGAGTGAACTTAGGTAAACCATTCAGGACGTATTCTCAAGCACGAGTCATTCTGGGAGGTGAGGTGAAGAAGGCAGGAAAAAAGCCAGCTGTATCTGAAAAAGCAAGAAAGTGCTTCAACTAGAAGAGTCCAGTTTCCACCTCTGCTCTCCTGCCCCGATACTATTCACCGGTGCTCACGTAAGCAAGCATTTTCTCTCCCACCCAATGCACAGGTGTATCTCTTTCTGCTTGGAAGTAAACTTGTCACTGCTTATGTTCCTGGAGCATCTCAGGAGGCAGAGACACTAAAAATACCCAAGATTTTTTTTTCTTATTCTACACACACACACACACACACACACACACACACACACACACACACACACTAGTTCATACTTGAAAGTAAGTACTGTTGAGTCAAGAGGAAGAAATAAAAAGACACAAATGAAAAAAGAAAGCAAATTGCCTGTTTTTAAGTGATGGGACCCTAAATCAAGTCCTGAAAATCCACCAGAAGACTTGGATCTAATAAATACCCTCAGCAAAGGAGGAAGATACAAAATCAACAAATCAGTGGCTTTTCTATGAACTAGCAACTCACAGTGAAAAAAGTCAGGAAGCTAGTACCAATCATAATAGCCTCAAAAACAAACAAAAACCATGTAGGACTAAAGCTTAGCCAAAGATGTGAAAATCTGAGCAAGGAAAGTGGCAAATCTGCTGCGCATGGTGGTGATGCATGCCTTTAATCCCAGTGCTCAGGAGGCATAGGCTGATGGATCTCTATGAGTCCAAGGCCAGCATGAGCTACATAGTGAGTACCAGGTACACAGTGAGACATGTCAAAAAGTCAAAAAAAAAAAAAAAAAAAAAAAAAAAAAAAAAAACCGAAAGGAAGGAAGGGAGGAAGGGGGGAGGGGGAGGGGAGAGAAAGAGATAGAGAAATTACGAAGCACTAAATGTATGCTAGGGTTTCCGCACCAGATGTATGTGAGGGGACACAGTTAAGAAAGTGCTGATGGGTCTGGAGAGATGGCTCAGTGGTTAAGAACACTGACTGCTCTTCCAGAGGACCTGGATTCAATTCTCAGCAACCACATGGCAGCTCACAACTGTAACTCTAGGGTTCAGCACCCTCACACAGACATACATGCAGACAAAACACCAATGCATATAAAAATAGAAATAAATAATTCTTAAAAGAATTATTTAAAAAAAAAAGAGAAACTGCTGACATGACAGATCCATGGTATGGTTAAGGGGAAGTTTCTTATTGTGTGAGAGAGGAAAAGAGAGAGAGTATCCAGAGTCCAGAGCAGAGAAAAAAGAAAGCAGACTGGACATGACCATGAGACAGAAAATATTCAGATGCATCTGGAAGAATTCAAAGCAAAGAGAAAGTAACAGACAGGACATGACCAGGGATATATTGCTAGAGAAGGGTAAGTAGCAGAGCAGAGGAGAAAACTTTGTCCCTTATAAAGAGGGAAGCCTGGGTATGTGAGAAGAGCTAGGCTGCTGACTTGAAATATACAAGTACTTGTGAATAGGGGTGGAGAGCCTGGAGGGCAGCATGGGCTCTAACAGGCAGCCATGGGGATGTCAAAGGAGCCATGTGCCCCTTCTGCTGGAAGTAAGGGAAATGACTGCTTTTGGCAGATCTCAACTGGTTTCACAAGTTCCTGAGGAATGCTGGCTTTCATCCAACCATCAGAAATTCTCCCGTAGTCCAGCTTGAGCTCATTTCTAGACATAGGGCACCTAAATATGGACTGTCTGAGACCTTACACTAAAGAAAGACAGACACTTGAAAATAGAACTATTTCACATATTTGGCAGAATATTGAGGGAATGGATATTTAGAAAAGTGATTTACAAATTCTAAATCTGAATGGAATTCTAAAGAGAAATGAGGGGGACCTCTAAATTTATATGGAAATACAAAAGACTCCAACTAGCCAAAGCAATCCCAAAGTGAAGAATAAAAGGCAGTACTAGAAGTATCGAGCACCTGACCTCAAAGAATACTACAGAGCCATTGTGACAGAAATAGCATGCTCCTAGAATAAAGACAGACACATGGAACAAAGGGAACAGAAGACTTAAAAAATAAATCTACACTGAGCTGAGTGGGGTGGACATGCCTCTAACCCCAATACACTAGAGGCAAAAGCAGGTGGGCCAGCTTGGTCTACATATCAAGTTCCAGTACAGCCAGGGCTAGATAGAGAGACCCTGTCTCAAAACAAAACAAAAAAAAAATGAAATCTACACTGAAACTGTCATCTGATTCTTGATAAAGGGGCCAAAAATATGCATGTAAAAGACTACCTCTTTTACAAGGAGTGTTGTACAAAAACCACCCCCTGTATAAAAACCAACTCAAAACAAGTCAGAAACCTTCACGTAAGACCTGAAACTGAAACTACTAGAACAAAAGGGAAATGATTCAGGATTTTAGAAATAAGATCAAGAATCAACATTACAAAGCTTCTACATAAGAGCTAGAAAGATGGCTCAGTGGTTAGGACCACTTGCTACTCTTGAAGAGGACCACAGCTTGGTTTGGTTTTCAGCACCCACAGCTGCCTGTAACTCCAGCTCCAGGGGATCCAGTGCCCTCTTCTGGCCTCCATAAGTAACCACACCTACATGGCTTACACTCACACAAACACACACCTATATACATAAGAAATCTTTTAAGGGACTGGAGAAGATAGCTCAAAGGTTAAGAGCACTTGCTACTTTTCCAGAGGTCGTGAGTTCAATTCCCAGCAACCACATTGTGGTCCACAACCATCTATAGTGAAGAATCATGCCCTCTTCTGGTGTGCAGGCATACATACAGGCTGAACACTATACATAATAAATAAATAAATCTTTAACAATAAATGAATAAATCTTTAAAAAGAAGCTCAACAATAAATAATCCAATCAACAAATGAGCAAATGAACTTTGAACTTAACAATTTTCCAATCCAGAAACACCAATAGCCAATAAGTACATGAGAAAATATACCCATTCCTTAGCTATCAGGGATGCAAATCATTGAGATTCAATCTTACTCCATTCAGTACAGCTATAAGAAAAAAAAAAGCAAATGTTGGTAGGGTTGGTGAACCCTTGTACATTTATAATGGGAATGTAAATTAGTCCAGCCACTATGGAAGTTGGTATGTAGATTTCTCAAAAGTAAAAACAAAAATGGAACCTCTCTGTGACCTAGTTATACCATTTCTGAGTATCTACCTGAAGGTACCAAAGTCAGCTTACCATGGAGATACTTGCAGACTCGTGTTCATTGTAGCGCAATTTACAACAGCCAAGTTAAGAAATCCACCTAGATGCCTACAACAGATGAATAGAAAAACCAAGTTAGGAAGTCGGGTACAGCATGTTTACTCTCCTGTGGACTCTAGCAT